AAGCCACAATGACGTATCTCCTCATACCATTTAGGATAGCCAACATCCAAAAGACAAACACCACAAATGTTGGCGAGGATGTGGAGAAATGGGAACTCTCTTACACTGCTGGTGGGAATGTAAATTAGTTGAACGATTGTGAAAAGCAGTATAGAGGTTTCTCAAAAAACTCAAAATAGAAATACCATTTTCCCAGAAATTTGACTCATTGGAATTTACCCTCAGAATGCAAGACCCCAGTTTGAAAAAGACACATGCACCCTATGTTTATCACAGCACTATTTACAATAGCCAAGAAATGGAAACAACTTAAGTTTCCTCAGCAGATGAATAGATAAAGAAGATGTGGTACATATAACACAATGGAATATTATTCAGCCATAAGCAGAGAACAAATCCTACCATTTGCAACAACATGAATGGAGCTAGAGGGTATTATGCTCAGTGAAATAAGCCAGGCAGAGAAATACAAGTACCAAATGATTTTACTCATATGTGGAGTATAAGAACAAAGAAAAAACAGAAGGAACAAAACAGCAGCAGACTCAACAGAACCCAAGAATGGACTAACAGTTACCAAAGGGAAAGGGCCTGGGGAGGATGGGTGGGAAGGGAGGGACAGGGGGAAAAAGGGGCATTACTATTAGCACATATAATATAGGGGGTTAACACAGGGAAGGCAGTATAACACAGAGAAGATAAGTAGTGATTCTATAGTATCTTACTATGCTGATGGACAGTAACTGTAATGGGGTATGCCGCGGGGACTTGATAATAGGGGGCGTCTAGTAACCATAATGTTGTTCATGTGATTGTACATTAATGATGCCAAAATTAAAAAGAAAAGAAACAAATACATTCTACAATTTGCAACAACATGGATGGAGTTGGAGGATATTATTTATGCTCAGTGAAGTAAGGCAGATGGAGAAAGACCAGTACCAAATGATTTCCCTCATTTGTGGAGTATAACTAAAAAAACTGAAGGCATAAAACAGCAGCAGACTCACAGACTCCAAGAAGGGACTAGAGGTTACCAAAAGGTAAGGGTGGGGGAGGGTTGGTGGGGAGGGAGGGAGAAGGGGATTGAGGGGTATTATTATTGGTGGACATAGTGTGGGGGAGGGGGGTCATGGGGAAGACAGTATAGCACAGAGAAGGGAAATTCGAGAATATGGGTAAATGTAGTACCCACATTGTTTTTCATGTGAAACCTTCATAAGAGTGTGTATCGATAAAACATTAATTAAAAAAAAGCACAAGATACCACGGAGCTCATTTCACATCTCTGCTTTTGTCCTGGCTCTGTCTGTAACATTAAAGCTTTAGGAAAAAATTAAAATTAGAAAGTTTCCATTTTTCCCTTCACAATACAATCATTAAATAATAATGTTTAGTGAATGTTTATAAAATGTTTAAGTGGGTTGAGGTAGCAAAAAAATATCATCAGAGCTATTCAATACTGCAGGTTCACAAGGTAAGTTTACCAAAAGGTTACAATATGTCAGAGGACATGCATCAGCTCTGTCTATAAATTAAAAGATCTTCAGGTTTACAGAAGCTGCTGTCTTAGGACCTTGGTTCCCAAATGACAGTCCCCAAAGAAATTTAACACCAAAGTGTGTCTTTTTTCCCAAAGCTCTGCAAACTGAAATATACTATATTGGATAAAAATGTTTCCTGGAATATACAAAGAAATGATAGTGATTGTCAAAGCATATGTCTAGGAAAGTAAAGCAAAGAGAGTTACAGGGGATCTATTTACATTTTATCTAGTTGCCCCAAGCATGCCTCCTAAGTATTACACAATGATATGGCATATTGTAGTAGATAGCTAAAAGGTGTCAGGTACTTACTTTCTGAAACCATGTGCATGAACTCTGAAGATACTACAAGTAAAATAATGCATAATGGCCAATACTACACTGACTGAAGTTCACAGCTCAGCTATGCTAAGGCCCCATGTGAATGGACAGAAATTCTAAGATGGAGATTTGGTTGAATATCTCTACTTTAGTACCTGGCTCAAAAGGATTTCTGCCATGAGACAACAAGACTTAAACAACAACTAAACACATGGCCCAAAAGCAGAATTCTGGCTCCTCCAAGTGAAGCTGATGCATGTATGACAAGTCTCTTTTCTCAACTATGAAATGGACAAAAAACACTGCTGCTCAAGTCAGATTATTACTCTTCTTAAGTCATGCAGCTGATATAACTAAGGCATTTTTCATCATTCCATTTCTTAGACATATAATTAACCTTCTTCTCAAACAGAGCACTTACTCAATGAATAAACTCTTGAGAGAGGATGTTTTATTCCAAACTAAATCCAAGCTTTAGAAAGCATTAAGCAAATTATACAGTTTTTTATTAGTCCTATGGAATCTTACTAAGCTGAGAAATCTACTATGTTCACACAAAAACAAAAAAATCTATAAATAAAGTAACAGAAGTCTAGAACATTCATGATTCCAGTTAGCCATTTGAGCCACATATAGTAGATACTGAATTTCCCAAACAATGGCATCATTCTTTAAATCTCATTCCATTTGGACACATTCCCTGACAAAGTAAAGGAGGCAACAAGAGCCTCTGACCCTCACAGTGCTAGATCTGAGGTAACTGTCTTGTAATAAATATAAAGAATCATGAAATTTTTGCTTCTTTCATTAAGGCAATGTTTTTAAAGAACTAACAGTCGAGTTCTCTAAGCATTGTGGCTGCTAGAATTTTAAACAATGGCAGTGAAGGATGTGGGTCCATCTCCCTAGGACAACTCTCTCTCCATTTGGTCTAGAATTTTTAGGAAGGATTTTAGGTAACATAAGATAGCGGAAACTCTCATATCTATTCACGCTCCATTAGCCTCTTTTCAATATAAAAAAAAAATAGTAGAAAAACATTACCTTGTGAGTCTGGAAGAAAGGGTTCTAATCCCAGTTCCAGCTTTCCTCTCGGACCTTACCTACATCACCCTCTGCGTTTGGGGGGGCACTAGGACCACTCCCAGGTTTAATGATTCACTAAGGTGACTCATACACTCACTACATAATCACACTCACACCTGTGATTCTTACAGTAAAAGGACACAAAGAAAACTGAGCCAAGGGAGTAGGCAAGTGGGGTCAAGTCCAGAGGTGACCAGGCACAAGCTTCCCAGAGCTTCTCCTGAGGAGTCACACTGGAAGTGCTTGATTCCCTAGCGACCAGTGTGACAATGTGTGTGAAATGCCACCTACCAAGGAAGCCCCATCATGATGCAGTACTAGGGTTTCTAGTGGGGCTGGCGATGTGGACACCCTCTGTGTAGCACTTACCAGAATGCCAGACTCCCAGAAGGCAAGCAGGTGATCAGCTTAACACCTGCACAGTCCAGTTACAGTGAGCGTCTCTCATATCGCTCTTAGGAAATGGTGGAATCCTCCCAAAATCTGAGTTTCCAAACAGCTGCCCAAGGCCTATCTTGCAAGCAGGCCGTCTTAAGGACAGCAGTCAAACCTGCTTTGTGAAGTCTTTTCTGTGCTCACCTCTCTACATCTCAGTTTCATCATGTCACTTTCCCATATCTATTAACTTGCTGTAGCAACGTTATACCATTATACAGGAATCCCACCATATAAGGTGGTGACCTATGGCCACCGTGAGCTACATGGCATGGTGAGGCCATCCCTGGAGCAGGAAAGGATTTTACTGTTCAAGGCCTGTTTTCCCAACAGTGATGGTAAGTAACATCACCATTAAATAGCCCTCTCCCTCCAGTCCCTGCTCTCCAACTGTCCCTAAGAGACTGTTTGGTACTTTTGTCCTTAAGTCTGTTTTTCTTATCATTTTCACCATATATTCAAAGACCACAAGGCTGAGATTAATAAAACACAGGAATAAAAAAAGATACTATTGTCATGGATTGCCTTTGTAAAAAACATGGAAAGCAGTTTTATTCCCACCTAACTATTGTACACAGCTCAGGGGCCATGGTGAGAAAAACCCTTGGGGTCAGATATAACTCTCAACAACAAAGCCCAGCCCCACTAGACTGTTGGTAGAACCCCTGCTTGAGAGCAGCAGCCCACTTCCATCATGTCCAGCTGAGGGACAAGACAGATGACTCCTATGTATTTCCATATTCTACCCCATATTTAGATACCCAAAACTCCATAAACTCTTTAGAGAAAACTAAACATAAAGTCAGAAGAACAGGGCTTCAGCCTTAGCCTCTGACTCTTCCTAGCTGTGTGATCTCTCAAGTCACTGCATGCCTCTGGGCCCCTGCTTTTTCCATGGATGCAGTGACAGGCTCAGCCAAACTGCCCTGGGAGTCTGGTCCAGGTCTAACCCCCCAGGATTTCACATTATTTTCTCCCTTAAGGGAATTGGGTGGCACAAAAGTTTAGAATTCATTTGGTGTTAAGTTTCTCCATCACAGTTAAAATTATAGATATCCAATTGTTCATTATTAAATTCTGACTGCAACAGAGACATCTGTGGACTAAAGTTGTCTTGGATCTGATAAGACATTGATCCCCTTGCACTGGCTTCTACATGTTGAGACTGACATTACTGATCAGACAACTAATATTTCAAAGATGTTTTCCAGAATTATGACTTGTTTCTTTGTACCCAGACTCATTCTGGAAAGCCTTCATTCATTCAAACAAATATATTCTAAGGACCTACTTTACTAGGTACTATGTGTATACAACATAAAGAACCACATGAACCAAAAAAATGCTACATTGTTTCAACACCAATCAATTGTAAATATGCTTCTCAAATCAGCATGTGGCTTGGGACCCGCTGGGTGTCTGAGTGAGTATCCCACCTTTGGGTGGGGGGCGGCCAGACCTGAGATCTGGACAAGGTCACCAGCCACCAATTCCCTAACCTATATTCTTTTGAGTAAAATTATCACAACAAAATAACAAAATAAAGTGTAAACCCACATGTTAATGGAAAAGAGTAGGGGAAAGAGCAAAAGAAAAGAAAAAGTCTGAACTCACCGGGACTGAGGCAATCCTTTTTTACTGAGATCTGCCCTCACACGTTCTCCTACGTGTCTGTAAATTTCCACTAAGCTGTTTATTGCTGCATCTCGAACCTGGATGTAAAAGAAGAGATCTTACAGCAGCTCTGTGTCACTTCCTGCTGGGGCACAACAAGCTACACAACACCCCAAGTCTATCACTAATGTACCAATGCAACTGTGAATACAATTCCTTACAGACAGTGAACAGATATGGCCGTGTTGAACAGTTTTCACTCTGGGGATACCATTCCAAAGAGTAGGCCACTTTAGCTCCCGTCCCTGTAAACATGCTACCATCCATCCCTTAGTTCCTTCCATTCTTTCGGATGATGTCAGGAAAACTGTATTTTCAGACCACCTTTCCAAAACATCAAACATTACAAACAAATGAATTATACTGAAACTAAAACACCAAGTAAAAAGCATTCTGGATTTAAGTCAATTAAAAAATACTTAGCAACAAAAATGGGCAGTATAGGATACAAAGAGCCCTACTGTTGAATACACAGACTATTTAAGATAGGATAAGGAAATAGGAAAAAAGTCCATAAATTCTACATTAATTACAGGGAAGGACGTAATAAAAGCTACATAAGAGTACAAAGAGCTTGCACAGTTTAGGGGAGGGAGCAAGCACACCAGAAGAAGGAACCACTTAAATGTGATGAGAAGGACAGCATTTTACCAGGTACAGCCAAGACGCAGCCTGTGCAAAGGCAGGAAAGTGGAGATGCATGGCATAAGCTTCAGAAAAGCAAGTAAGCAGTCTGGCCAAATACAAATGTACACTAAGAAAGTGGCAATAAATAAGGTTTAAGAGACAGAATGGATTTAAAAAAAAAAAAACACTTGGTTAAGTTTGACTATTGTGTATTAAATATTATCACTGCATCAATGTTAACTTTCTTGGATATGAAAATGACATTCAGTTATGTAAGAGAATATCCTTTGTTATTAGGAGGTAAGAATCTGAAGATGAGATACTGAAATATCTAGGTATAAAAATATGTCTAAGACACTTTTCAAATGGTTCAGGACAAAAAAGTTTAGTTGAGGGGGTGAAATGGGTGAAGGGAAAAAAATTAGTGAGATATTTGATATCTTGATCTGGGTATTGGTTACATGAATGTATACACATGTCAAAATTCTTCTACACACTAAATTATGTGCACTTTATTGTGCATACCTCAGTATAAATTTTAAGTGTATTTCTGTGTGTGGGTATCTATGTACATATACAGAGAAAACAAACGGAGCAAAATGTTAACTGGTAAATATGGGTGTTCAGTATGCTACTCTTCCAATTTTTCTATAGGTTTAAAATTTTGCAAATAAAATGGTGGGAAGAAAATGTTTTTTAATATACAACTGGGCCAAGGCCAGTCTATGGGGGGTACAGAAGGGTGGGGAGGAAGTGAGATGCATATTGAACTCAGTAGGCAAAAAGAGAGAAGCAAAGTGATCTTAGATTTGGTTTCAAAAATGAAATCAAAGTAACAGAGTGAAGAAGAGAGGAAGAGTACGTATACAAACAACAATTTACAATTCTAAATTATTAGTGTCAAATAACAGGTAATTTTACTTATAATTTTTCCCCTTTTGGTGGAAAAAGGCAAAATCCTAGGTCTTGTCTTATCACCGAAATCTCTGCTACAGACTCAATTGTGCCCCCCTCAAAATTCATATGGTGGATCCCTAAGCCCCAGTGTAGCTGTATTTAGAGGCAGGGCCTATAAGAAGGTAAATAAAGCTAAATGAAGTTACACAAATGGGGCCCCGGTACAACAGGATTGGTAAGGAAAAACACTTAAGAGCTCACTCCATTCTCCACGCATGTGCAAAGAGGTCATGTGAGCACACGCTGAGGGCGGTGTCTGCAAGCCAGGAAGAGATTCCTCACCAGAACCCAACCCTGCTGGCACCCTGATCTACCAGCCAGACTTCAGAACTGTGAGAAATACATTCCTGTTGTTTAAGCCACCCAGTCTATGGCATTTTGTTATGGCAGCCCAAATGGACTAATACAGACAGTCAAGTTTCCTTGGAAAAAATAGAATTTCTGATCTTAGGAAACATTTTTATCTGTAAACATGAATATACTGCAAACGTAGTAATGTCATGTGTCTTAAAGATCAGTAAAAAGCACATCACCTTTGCTTACTTTCTAATGTTGACATTTTCTCAAAGCTAATAGAACTGGGTAGTCACCCCAAAGAGCAATCAGTATCTTTGCTACTGAGAAAGTCTGGGCCATAAAGAATTTAAGAGTTTTGGGGGAAAAATTAGTAGCCGTAGAGTCAATTAAGTATACCTGAGTACTTTCTTGGGAATTTAGGAGCTGTGCAACCTTGGACATAATATTTAAACTGTTTTAGTCTTAATTTCTTCCTCTGTAAGAGGTTGCTTGAGAGCCAAAAGAAGTAATGGATTCACTCAACAAATACTCGAGTGTTTACTAGCTGCCAAACTGAAGTGCCTGCACAGCCCAGGCAAAGAGCAGGATAAACAAATGGAGCAGGGTGTGTGTGTGTGTGATGACAAATGACACTGGCATGGGACCCCACTGACAGAGAGAAGCAGGAATGTGGAGGCCCAGGCAAAAGGCCACCACCACTCAGCCTTGGAGAACGCAGGTATAGCTCTGCCACACTTCTCATCTTTCAAGTCAGCAACGCACGTCTCCCAATTGTAAAAACACCCAAACTCTAAATGTCAATGAAAACATTCTGCAGATGCATGCGCATGCTCACGCATGCACACACAACACCCCGCCCCCCCGCCCCCGCCCAATCCTCAGGTTGAAATTAGCTTTCAGGCCAGCAGTCTGTGACCTACAGGCTATATAAAAAGTACTCAGTACAACAGCAGGGGGAACTATCACCTACCTCTTTTAGACCAACATCCTTAGCCTTTAAAACAATCATTCCTCAGGATTATAAAGCTACAGTCAGACAGCATTTGAGGGTTTGTAAACCAAGAATTAAAGAAATAACTGGGAACAGGCCTTTTTTGGTCTAGAAAGTACTACACTCCAAGAAAGGAAGTTTCATTAAAAGAAACTCAGCTCAGGCTGGAGGCACAATGTAGCATTTGTTCCTACACACAACCACAGGTCCCACACTGCTTCTGCCTGCTCACACAGAAAGGAACCCCAACTTTCCAGCCCATTTGGACTACAAAAGACAAGAGCCCCAGATATTAAGCACTACCTGCCAGGCCCAGGTTAACGTTTTATAAAACCTGAGGTTTTCAAATCTATGACCTTCCTTACAGGGCCACTGTGCGCTGTCACACAGAGGAGGATGTGAAGGAAGAGGAGCTGAACTTCCATTTCTGAGTTGGCCCACATTATTCTCACTTGGGTACACTTTACTGCAGTGCAGGTGTGAAAATGAGGGCTCCTGCAATATAATGAGTACATATGTACATATGTATGTGGCCATTCATATGACCAAATATGTATTTCCCAGGTATATTTGGTCGTCAGTTCCTGAAGACACAGCAGTCTTACAGGTAAATTGGTGCCTTGTCATGTTAATGACTTTTGGACCCCCCACCTCCACCCCCTAAGGGCAGGGCTGGAAGGTGAATCAGTCAACAGCCAATGATTTAGTCAACCATGACTATGCAAGGAAGCCCTCACAAAAGCCCTTGAGAGGAGCTTATCACTCTTCTGCAACCTGCTTCTCTGTTGAGAGCTTCCTCGCTTGGGGAACCAGAATGCTTCCATGCGCCACCAGCCCCAACCTCCTTTAAATAAAGGAACCTTGCCCTATGTATCTTCTTATCTGGCTGTTAACTGTTATCCTTTATTTAACTGGTGAACATGTTTTTCCTGAGTTCTGTGAGCTGCTCTAGCAAATTAATGGAACCTAAGGGGAAGGCTGTGGGGACATTCAATCTGTAGTGTGTAGGTCAGAAGCACAGATAACTGCCTGGGGCTTGAGACCTGCATATGAAGTAGGGGGTGGAGGGCAATCTTGTAGGATGGAGCCCTTAATCTGGGGAATCTGGTGCTGTCTCTGGACAGACAGCATCAGAACTAAGTTCTCAGACACCCTACTGGTGTTTGAGAAGTACTTGGTGTTGTGTGTGTGGGAAAAACCCCTCCCCACTCTGCCCCATACACATGCACACACTGGAATCAGGTCTAGGAACCTGAAAGGAGTTGTACTATTATTACTGCATAATAGTACTTTTGTTGTGTAGGAAGGAAAACACACCAGCTCCCTACAGAGCCAAAAACTCAAAGGAAGGCTTCACCTCCAGGGAGAGGGAGGGCACCTATGAACGAACTGACAGGAAGCCAGATCCTCAGTCCCCCGGGAGCAGCAGCACAGCCCCACAGTGGCCTGTTGCAGACAGTGGTGTCACAGACCTCATCACACTGCACTGCCGGCTCCAGCCCACCTCCTCCAACATCGGGTGTTGTCCAACAGGGTCAGTGCCAGAGAACAACATGCTTTTACATTTTAAGATGTTTTTAGGCTTTGAAGATGTGTATCAAACTCCTTAGCAAGACAGAGGGCAGTCAGGACAAGGCCCTTCAGGTGCAATCCTTACTGTCTGCCCCAGGCTAGCTGAGGAGCTGTAAACAAAGGTTTTTAAGCAGAAATGGAGTGTTCCTCATCTAGCAAAGGGACGTCCTATTGGGTACCATGTCTGTCTGCAGGCTCCCTCTGTTGCAGCCACTGCCCCTCTTCCTTGTCGACAAACACAGGCCTTGTTCTACAGTGCTCTCCTAGAGGAAGGCAAGCCTGTCCTTAGCTCAGAGGTAGTCTCCACAGCATGTAGCCCTCACAAAAGCCTAGCCCCCTGTGTGACTGACACAGGGGCGTGGCATGCAATTCTCCACGAAACAGGAGGGAAAATCTGCAGGAAAGCATTTGGAAAATGCTTCTCCACTCTTGGAAAGAGAAATGCAGGAAACTCGAAAAAATATGAGACTCTTGGAGAAAGTGAACAGTAAGCAGTTAATGATATGAGAGGATTAGTCATTCTTGATAGATGATAATGTTATTAATGGAAAGTTTTTAGGGAAAAGAGTGGTTATCTTTTGGAATATTTAAGAATTAAGTGAAATGTGTAAGAAACAATGTTTTAAGGGAAAAGAGTTATCTTTTGGAATATTCAAGAATTAAATGAAATGATATCTAAGCTTTCTTTCAAAACAATCTAAATTGTTTCAAAATCTAAATTTTGCTTCAGGATAGTGGGATGAGGGAGGGAAAATGGATAAAACTGAACTGAGCTTGTCTTATTAAGTGCTGAAGCTGATGATGGATACATACTCCTACTACTTCTATGTAAATTTAAATCTTTCAATATGGAGAAGTTGAAAACAGGAGAGAAACTTGGAAGCACCAGGCTTCCACCTACCAGGCCTGCTGTCCACGCACACTGCTGGGCTGCCCCTGTGCTGTGCCCATGATGAGAACCGCAGAGGACAAAGCTCAGGGCTGAGACAGCTGAGCATAAGATGGATGAGACCTTAAGTCTGTGAGGATATCACTGAACCGCTGAGAAAACTGAGGCCCCCATACTTCTGGACCCACTTGATGAGGGATATTTTCCCCATTTCTCTAGCAATTTTGTGTTGGATTTTCAATTCCTTGTACCTGAAAGCGTTCTGTACATCTGTGGGTCACTCTGAGAAGCTTTTGAGGGTCTGAGTCACTCTGCACTCAGACCAATACCAAAAGAAATTTGCATCAGCTAAGGCAGAAGTGGGGGCAGAGTTCACCTTAAATTTAAGTGCAACCAATGGTAACAGCTGCCTGTGGAGTCGTGAGAGAAAGCTCCACACACACCAGAGCCATGAGAGCTGGAGCCTGATCTCAGTGTCGGGTACCACAGTGCAGTGACAGCACTGGTAGGACCCAACTGTCCTCTGTGCTCTGAGACAGAAACAGCTTAGACGGTAAAGTCATTCAAATAGTTACAGGGTGTCCACTCAATTCTAGAGGTGCTGGAAAGCCGGCCTGGGACAATGAAGGGGAGCAAGTTATAGTCCTGTCCCTGAGCACTATAATGCATTTGGTAATTTAGAATCTTCTTTAAAAGACAGTTAATTTTGAAATTAATACTGAACATAAAGTATGATTCAGAAAATGAAAATATCTAAAAACTGTATTCCCAGTGCCATGTATTTCCAGTAAAGGCTGGTGAGAGAGTGAGTGGAAAGTAGGAGCAAGCAAAGGGGCCTGGAAAACAGACAGCAGGGAGCAGGGGGGCCAGGAAGGAAGAGGAGGCAAGGCCACAGGGCAGCAGAGAGGTGAGAAGGTGCGCCTGGGGTGAAGCAGAGATAGGAACAGAGAAAGGACAGAAGACCAGGAGGGGCTGGGGCCTGGGAGCATAACAGGAGCTCATCAGTCAGGATTTAAAATGAGATGCCTATTTACCATGGGTGCTTCTTTAGTAAATTTATCATTACTGTTTTTGCCCCCTTTCTCTAATGAGGCATCTTACTTAACAGTTTGTATGAGCTAACATAATAAAAACGACTCTTGGTAATAAAGAGAATTAAACTCTGAGAGGGAACTGGAGCTTCCCCAGCTGACCAACTGCCTGGGAACTATCAGATTACTAACTCTTCTCTGACTCCGACACTAAGGGCGGGTGATGTGTTTCTGTTTTCTGATTTACGCAAAATTGACATAAAATAACATCCACAGTTCCTACAGATTTAAAGCATTTCCAGTCTTGTGTGCTAGTGTGGCGACCACCCAAAGCAAAATACAGACTTTTCCATCACCTCAGAAAAGTTCCCTCAGGCCCTTCCAAGCAACCCCAGGAGGAGGCAATTACTGATTTCAATCAGCACGGGTCACTCTTTCCCAAACCTACCCCTTCTGGCTGCAGAGATGGTGGCCAGGTGACATTATTTGGAGGCTGGTCTGGATGATGTCACTTTACAGGCAAGTGAGGTCACAGCCCCACGTAGAGAAGAGGGCAAATGGCTACACATTTACCACTGGTACCTCATAAATGCTGATGGGCAATAATGTTAATTATCCTAAACAATAATCATGGTCCTATAATGATAAAGTCCTACCCACCTCTCAGGTATACACAGAACAACAAAATGCATCTTAACTGTCTACAACCCGTGATTTTTCTTTCTCACTAAATACACTCACCTGGCTATTTGGATCTCCAAGTAAGTTACATATATGTGGTACAATCTTGCTTAATGTTAAAGTATGTGCTCCAGAGCTGAAAACAAAAGGATATTTATTGCTGGTGAGAACAAAGGAAGAAAGAAGCTGCTCTGCCACTCACCTCTTCCCTCCATCCCAGGGCCCTACTGCCACCTCACACTGAGGCTTGCTTCTTCCCCTCTTCCCATATAGTTCCGAACTAGGTACCACCAGGGCCCCTCTGTGCAGAGCTCAACACTGAGAGTGCATCTCACTGCACAGCTTCTCCCTGGCACAAAGGCTTCTCTCTGATGTGACCCCAAACCTTTAAGGCCATGCCAAAGCTCCAGCCTCTCCCGGAGACCTGCGTGCTCACACACTTTGTCTCTGCATTACTATTTAGTCCTGTCATGGCCCCTATTGGCCAACTCAGTCTACTCAACTAAACTGCAAGTCCCCCGAGGGCCCTCACTTAATGTTCTCCATCTGTGCAGAGCTCTCTGCTACGCTGGCACGCAACTACTAATGGCTGAATGGAAGCTTGAGAGAACATGGCTGCAGATGCTTCCAGCTTAGCACTGGCCTGCTGGAGGACACCTAGGTTCTTCACAACTTTCCTTTACAAATGATGTCACAGATAGCTTTTGTGAATACAACTCTCTTTGGCAATCTGATTACTTCGTTAAATGTGAAACTACTGTATTTGAAGGCTAGAAAGCTTTTTTAAAAGCTTCAGATACATATGTCCAAATTTAATGACACTGAAAAAGCTAACATGTTAAGAGAAAAAACTGTACAAAGTAGTGGGAACACTATAATCCCAATTTTATTTTTTAAAATAATTAACTTTACAGGCTGGAAAAAATGCACCACAAATTAACAGTGGTTACCTGAAGGTGGTAGAATTACAAGTAATCATTATTTTCTTCCTCGTGTAAATTTTCTATGACATATATATTACTTTCATAATAGAAAGACTGATTTGTAATTTTTTATTTTAAAAAAGCATCTCCTACAAGTAAACACATGAAAAAAATTTCAACATCAATAGTCATTAGGGAAATACAAACTAAAACCATAATTAAATAACACCATACACATATCAAAATGGTTAAAATGAAAAAATAGTGATAAAATTCATTGCTAGCAAGAATATGAAGAAACTGAATCATCCACACATTGCCAGTGCAAATGTAAAATGGTATAAACAAGTCTGGAAAACAGCTTAGCAGTTTCTCTCAAAATTAAAAATAAACTTGCCAAATGACCCAGCAATTGCACTCTTGGGTGCCTACCCAAGAAAAATGAATGCTCACATTGATGCAGAAACTTGTCCATGCTCTATGTGCTTTATTTGTAATGGCCAAAAGCTATAAATTATTCCAAAGTACTTCAATAAATGAATGGTTAAACAGACTGTGATATGACTCTACCATGGATTTCTACTCAGTAGTAAAAAGAAATGAACTATGTTTGGACAACAATATAAATGCAACCTTAAGGAACTGTACTGAGCAAAAAAAAAACAATCTCAAAGGGTGACATTCTATGATTCCGTTTCTAGGGCATTATTGAAATAAGAAAGTCACAGAGATGGAGAACAGATTCATGGTTGCCAGGGGCTAAGGACTGGCTATGAAAAGACAGCATGAGGGAGCTGGGATGTACCTTAATCGTGGAAATAGTACAGGAGTACTGCGCAACGAAAGTGTGCAGATGTGCAATGCACACCATGTATTTGTATGACTGGAGGAATCCTGAGTAAGCTCTGTGGCCTGCATTAATACCAGTTTCCTGGTACTGCGACTGCACTGGAGATATGCAAGGTTTTAACATTCAGGGAGCAAGGGGCCCAGTACCTCCCAGCACATTACTCTGCAACCCTCTGAAATGTGTAGCTATTTCTAAGTAAAAAGTTGGAGTAGAAAAGCTCAACCAAGGAAACCATCAGGCCCCATCCAACTTACGCATTGAGTGTGGCAACAAGGCAGAGACACGTGCCTTCCCGGGTCCGGAAGTTCTTATGCTTGAAGCCTCCCAGCATTCGGTCCCATACATACTGCAGACAGCAAAACACAGGTGAGCAGAGGAGGCGAGAGGACTTCGTGGCCTTTCACTTAATGCAGGGCCGACAGAAGAGGGGCCTCTCAACAGGGACCATCAGTCCCAGCCTCACCAATCCACTTAGTCCTCTCAAGAGCATATTGAAAACAGTGACTTACATTTATATATTAAGTTAAAACTTTTCAAGATACATTCCTTTATATAAGCACATTTAATTCTCCCAACTCTGAAAGGGAGGTGTAACTGTCCGTTTTATGAGTGAGGACAGTGAGGCCAAAGAAGACTGTGTGACTTGCAAAGATCACTAGACATATTGCTCTCCTGGTGTGGAACTGTCCCTTCCCTTACATGTCCACGAGGCAAACATCCACTTCACTTCTAAGGCCAGTGTTGGGTTTTCTGACACCTCCACCACCACCCCGCCTCTGAGCAATGGAGCAGGACGCTGGACAACAGGGCTGTGTCCCTATGTCCATCTGACCCAGCTCACTGACAGACAGGGACAAGTGTTCTAGGCAGGCCTTCTGACTCCCACACATACACTGGCTCTTTTCAGAGAAACTGAGAATCAGTTACATAAAGGGGCTCAGAGTTTAATGGATTAAACCAAGCACTCATTACCCTTGTAAAGTCCACTTATTCATTCAAAGTATATCCTTTGCTATTTATTATTTATTTAGATATCCTGTCCTGGGGGAAGAAGGAGCAGATTAAATACTATGAAAAATTTCTTCTGAAATATATCAGCTTAAAAGAAATTAATTTCTTGATACGCAGTCATCCACAGATGTTATACACGGAGCACACACATGCCCACTAGCCACAGAAGGCCTCCCCTGTCCTACCTGGGGGTTAGCAGCTTGATCCATGATCTTTAGCAGCAGAGTTTGGTCTTGCTCCCTCACAGAGTCTTTAGCATCTCCCAGTCTGTCTATTAAACTTGGCAGCACTGGAAATCAAAATGCAAATCAATCAAATGAAAACCTATCTGGGAGGTCTGCAGTCACCAACTGTGGATATTTCAACTAGCTAGGAATATAATCCTGGCCTCAATGATGCACTTCATTCTAAAGTCCCCAATACCTACAGTTCCACTCTCCTTGCTAAAATCCATGGGAGCTACCATAAGAATCTGCAAAATCTTTTGCAGGGACTATTTGTCTTCTCCCTTAACCCACCTTCCTCCAGCCAGCTGCCAACATATTTTTAAGCTAGTGAAATATTATTAAAATGGATATCAATGTAAAACCTTGGCAGAAAATTCAACACAAAAGGAAATTTAGGTAAGAGAGAGAGGCGCCAGCATAAAAAATTCAACACAAAAGGAAATTTAGGTAAGAGAGGCGCCAGCATATTTGGTGGTAGGAGCAGCCACTATGGCTCATCTCTTATACACTGTGTGATCGTAATTTTACGTAAATGTAAATCAGAGCCCAACTCTCCACCCACCCTTCCTCCACACACCTGGGTGTGGGCCACCCCTAGTGCTCCAAAGGCACTTGCAAACCAAAAGCCAGCTTACTTTACTTCTAAGAGTCTATATTTCTCTTACAAGAGATATCCATAACAACTGAGCTAACTTAGAAGGAAAATAGATTACCAAAGTATCAAATTTCTACAAGGAGAATTTTTATTTGCAGATAGTGCCAAAATGGGAATTCTTAACCTTATTTAAAGAAACACTGACCAAGAAGTTAACAGAAAAAAATAAATACACAGGTGCCAAATTAAGTGGAGTAATTCTACGAAGAAATGCTTACACAGAGCTGCTTGGTATTTACAGTAATTACGAAATCCCAGAGGTCAGGAATTTAGAGATGACTAAATCACCTGTAAATCTATGAAATCTGTGGTTACTTTTGTTTCATATTGCTAACACCTTGTTTTCCCTTCAAAATAAGGCAGCGATCATTTACTACTCACTAGTAACAACAAGTACAATCAACGTGATGACAATAATACCAACAATGACCACCTGGGAAAAATACAACTGCATCCCATTTGTAAGGCTTCTCAAAGAGGGAAAACAATGCCTCTGAAAAGCGAAGGATCCCGGACGAATGTGACTTCGTTGGCACTAAAGTGTGATAGCTAATCTGAATGAGAAAAAAGAATTAGCAGTAATGCTTCGTATTAGAACACGAAGGTTGGAAGAAGCCAGTAAAATGGTACAGGCAAAATGGACGGACATGACAACAGGTGCGAGGGAGGCGAGTGGATCCAGACATGGGCGGGGTGGGGATGTTTCTCAGCAGCCCCACCAGGCGGAGACTGACGGGGTAGGCGGGGAGGAGTAGGCGGCGAGGTTAAGGGGGGAGGGCTGGGTGCAGCAAAGTGGAGGAGACCGGGCGAAGGCGCCGGGCCTGCTCCCCACAAGCCCGCAGCTCACCTGTGCCGATCTGCGCCTTGAACCGGTCCTGCAGCCGGGTGACCAACGCTGACAGGATGTCCATGCCCAGGAGGACAACCTGCAACGGCAAACACCCGGAACCCATTAGCGGCCTGCGCGGGGCCCAGCACTGTCCCCCAGCAGCTCCGAGGACGCCCCCACATCGCCGGCCCAGACGCTGTCCCAGCTCCCGGTGAGCGCCTGCCGGCGGGCAAGATTAAACTGGCCATCAAGAGGACAAAAGGAGAGCTGCTCTGGCGCAAAAAGCCCTGCGCAGGCTTACTAGGAGATACGGGGTAACAGGCTAAATGAACAGCAGACACGCTGCGGCAACCTCTCGGGCGCCAGAGATACAGAGAGCGATGTGGGGCCGGGCGCGCTGCGGCCCCGCCCCCCGCGAGATCGCGTATGCAAATTATCTAAGCTGCTGTCGCGTGGCCTTCTGGGTAAAACAGAGCGGTCTCTCCGCGACTTACAGAAGCCTCAAAAAAAAGCGGAGTTGGTGGTTTGCTTCAGTACACTGTGGTCAGCATCGATACCCTAGCTACGTGGCACTTAGACCGGGACCTGAGAATTAGTCACCACAACCCTACCCGGTGTTGGTGCTCCTGGCTTGTAGTACATACAAACATGTACAACTAACCATCCTTTTCTTGGGGTTGTGCTACTGTCCAATGAGCGTCTAGTGAGGATAGTACTGCTAACACCTGAACAACACACTCGCATCTACTAGAGCTCTGCTCTACCATGGTGCAATTTTTGGAAAAGAGAATTTTTTTTCCACGACTTTAGAGTATAAAAAGTAAAACGGATTGGGGTAGATTAATTGATACGGTCAGTCAGTAAAATCATGTGTATTTAACATCATCATTAAAATCTCAAGTCCTACGGGTAACTTTTTCAGTAAAGACACTTATATTGCACAACTTAAAATATTTGAAAAAAGAGGGAAAGTGCAGTTGAGTGTTGTTGGTACATGGCAAGCAACCAGCGAAAGGACAAGCAATGATAATTATGATTTTGGAGCCAATAAACGCAAAAACCGGCGGGCTCTTCTATTCAGCTTTGAATTTAAGGAATCCGATTTGCCCAACAATCACAAAACTGTCCTTGCAAAAGATTGGTGACTTGAAGACATTAATGGGAATAATGTGAAAAATTTTACAAAGAGAACACTGGTTTGTGGACGGTTTTTTAAAAAACATGTAATGATAATAAAACTTTTAAAATAATGACTTTACTTGTATCACAGAGAAGGGACATAGTGGGTCTCTGGCAACTTGCTGCACTGATGGACAGTGACTGCACTGGGATATGGGTGGGGACTTGATAATATGGGTAAATGTAGTAACCACATTGTTTTTTCATGTGAAACCTTCATAAGAGTGTATATATATCATACCTTAATAAAAAATTTTAAAAAAATAATAATAATGACTTTACTGATGAACTAAAGAATAGGTTTCACACACTATGACTTCCTTCTTAAGAACGGAGGTAGAGGAGAGTAACTACTTCAGAGAAACCTGACTAACATTATCTTCGCCAGTTGATCAAGGTCAACAGAACTGTCATAAATCATGTTCATAATATGTTTATGCCTGATATGTGATTAAAATGTCACGTTACAATCTGTGACCATCCTCAAAACCCATAGGCCCAGTCTAATCATGAGAAAAACATCAAATTCCAATAGAGGGGCATCCTAACCAGTACTCCTCAGAACAAACTGCCAGGCCAGTACTTTTCAAAACCATCAAAAGCAAGTCAGAAATTGCCACAGCCGAGGAGAGACAACAATTAAATGTAATGTGGTATCCTGGATGTCCATCCTGGAACAGATGGACATAAGATACAAACCAAGGGAACCTGAATAAACTATGGGCTTTAATAATAAATAAATGATAATTGTGTGTGTGTATATATATTACACATTTATAATATAAATTTTTGTGTATTGATATTTATATTAATAAAAATAAGTATCAATATTGGTTTATTAATTATAATAAATGTATAATGTTAGATGTTAAAAAAGGGGAGACTGGGTGTGAGGTTACATGGAGACATTCTGTACTATCTTCACAATTTTCCTATACATCCAAAACTGTTCTAAAAATTAACGTTTATATTTTATATAATTTAAATTCCTATCGATTCATTGGAATTGGCTTTTCCCTGATGAAATTCTAAGCACTGGTGCAGTTGCTTTACTGGTTAGAGGTGGGAGTGTTATTTATTACAGAAACAATACCCTACCTTCAGTTCTTGGCACATCCCTTCATAATTCACTCAGGACACGGTGTTAAGAGGACAATTGTATTTTCAGGTATGACAGTACATGTCAGTTAACCTACCTATGGAATTTGGTGGAACACAGACTTTAACCTTTTCCAGGGTGGAGGTTTACTTGGTAGGTTCAAAAGGTCTCACCCAGATAGACTGGGGCATCCACAGATTCCCCAGGTTGCAGCTAAACCCAATAGGACAAGAGAGGCCCAGAGTACAGGCAGGAGAAGACAGAACACAGTCCCAGGCACCTTCACAGAGGAATAAGCCCCTGGGTGTTAGAAGGAAGCAAAGGGAGTCATGCATAACTGTCTAGTTCACCCTTAGTCACAGCCCCAGTGGGCAAGGAGGGAATTGTCACCCACAAATAACCTTCACAGCTTGGGCTCTTCTCCCACGGTTCCATTTCCCTAGTGAGGAAGGGGATAAATGAATAAAGTCATTGCCCAGAAGGCCACTCTACCTATTAGCTGTGATGCCTCTCTGTGCTACAGTTTCCTCACCTTTAAAATGGGGAAAACAGTTAAATACCTCATAAGTCATCATGTGTGAAGTGCTGTTAATAGTGCTAGGTGCATGGTAAGGCCTAGACAACACACATGCTATTATCACCAGCTCACTGTAACTGCACTCACCATGGGCAATAGGGTACTGATCAGTGGTCCAGTGGAAGCCTATGATTCCTAAGGACAGGCACCAATCTGGCAAAGAAGGCTTACCAGAAAGAATTGCATTGCACAAGGCTATTTTGAAGAACTAGCCTCACACCAAAGGAAGAGAAGACCTCCAAGCAGAGGAAAGATTGCATGGAAAGGTGTGGAGAATGAAACAAGCTGCCAGGGAGGGAGAGTTGAGGTGGGAGATGGGATGGCTGGGAAATTTCAGGGGCTACAGCTAATGAAGGGCCTCAGACATGTCTTCAAGACAGTGGGGAGCCACTGAAAAGCTCTAATGATAAAGAGGAAACAGTGGAAGCTGGAGCTTTCAGACAGGGCAGTGGGACCAACCATGGGGAAGATGGCCTGGGAGATAAAAGGCAAAGGCAGGGAGGAGGTCAGGCTCACATTCCGCACTTACTGCCTTTAGTTTCCACTAAGCCACTAAACCCAAAATTACCCCTGAGCACCTCCTCCAATATTCTATTTAACTTTCTGGGCTTAGCCTGTTTCCCCAGCCAAACTCCTTGAGTATAAGGACTACTATGCTTTGTGTTTCCTTGAAATCATCATAAATATATATAGCATGGTAGGTACATGGTAGGTGATCATATACTACTTTATTGACTAGTAATGAATTCAACACATGAGTTCTCAAAGTTCAACACAATTCCTTTATCCTAAAACTTTTAAAAGATGCTTTTAAAGGGAGGTAATAATGGCTAACTAGGAAACTCAGACCAACTATCATGCTGAAAACAACTAAAAATATTACATATGATGTACAAGAACATGTACTTGTAAACATCAGAGGAATAAATAAGAAGGCACAGAATTATAAGGTCACAAAACATAAGAAAACAAATCCAGAGAGGCAAGCCTGAAGCAAATGGCCTAGTTTTGCCCTAGGGCCATTTACACACTGGGAAGGGACAACCAGGACACTGGGAATTACTTTTAATAACCACTTCAGTCTATGAGAACAAAGGTTGGATTCCAAATCCCCCAAAAATTGATGGCCCAGATAACATCCTACAACTTGGGTTGTAAATAGAAATGGCTATACCTTAAGAGAGTGAATTGGAAATAAAGCAGTCTTCATATAGACTGCAGTTCAGTTTCCAAGAATCCAGAGGCCCAGAAAAATGTCAGTCCCTGACATCAGACAGAAGTGATTTAGGTGGCTCCTGCCTGAAAGCCCCTAGCAGATAAAAACACAAATTGTACCTGGATGTAGAGAACATCATCCTAGTTTAGAATTCATTTTGCCTCTGAAGCAATTTGCAAATACAATGTCCAAGAAAATCTAAACAGACCAATTACCAGCAACGAAACTGATTCAGTAATCAAAAAAATACCCATGAATAAAACTCCCAGGCTAGATGGATTCACCGCTGAATTTTATCAGACATTTAGTGAAGACCTAATACCCATTCTCCTTAAAGTTTTCCAAAAAATAGAAGAGGACGGAATACATACAAACTCATTCTATAAAGCCAGCATCACTCCAATACCAAAACCAGGCAAGGACACCACAAAAAAAAAGAAAACTACAGACCAATATCCCTGATGAACATAGATGCAAAAATACTCAACAAAATATTAGCAAACTGAATTAAAAAATACATCAAGAGGATCATATAGCTGGTATCTAGAATTATCATGAATATAAATGTTCAATCACTGTGTTGTACACCTGAAACTAATGTAATACTGTGTGTCAACTACCCTTCAATAAAAAATAATTATCTAAAAAAAAAAAAAAAGAGGATCATACACTATGATCAAGTGGGATTCATCTCAGGGATGCAAGGATGGTACAACATTTGAAAATCCATCAACATCATCCACCACATCAACAAAAAGAAGGACAAAAACCACATGATCATCTCCATAGACGCTGGAAAAGCATTTGACAAAATTCAACATCCATTCATGATAAAAACTCTCAAGAAAATGGGTATAGATGGCAAGTACCTCAACATAATAAAGACCATATATGACAAACCCAAAGCCAACATCATACTTAACAGCGAGAAGCTGAAAGCTTTTCTTCTAAGATTGGGAACAAGACAGGGATGCCCACTCTCCGCACTGTTATTCAACATAGTACTGGAAGTCCTAGCCACAGCAATCAAACAAAACAAAGAAATACAAGGAATCCAGATTGGTAAAGAAGAAGTCAAACTGTCATTATTTGCATATGACACAATACTGTACATAAAAAACCCTAAAGACTCCACTCCAAAACTACTAGAATTCAGCAAAGTTGCAGGATACAAAATTAACACACAGAAATCTGTTGCTTTCCTATACACTAATGATGAACTAGCAGAAAGAGAAATCTGGAAAACAATTCCATTCACAATTGCATCAAAAAAAATAAAATACCTAGAAATAAACCTAACCAAGGAAGTGAAAGACCTATACACTGAAAACTACAAGGCACTCTTAAGAGAAATTAAAGAGGACACTAACAAATGGAAACTCATCCCATGCTCTTGTCTAGGAAGAATTAATATTGTCAAAATGGCCATCCTGCCTAAAGCAATCTACGGATTCAATGCAATCCCTATCAAAATACTGACAGCATTCTTCAATAAACTGGAACAAATAGTTTCAAAATTCGTATGGAACCACAAATGACCCCGAAGAGCCAAAGCAATCCTGAGAAGGAACAATAAAGCACGGGGGATATCGCTTCCCAACTTTAAGCTCTACTACAAAGCCACAGTAATTAAGACAATTTGGTACTGGCACAAGAACAGACTGACAGACCACTGGAACAGAATAGAGTCTCCAGACATTAACCCAAACATATA